CGTGGGTTTCTTCGCTTTCGTTGGCTTAGAAGGCTTTGTAGCTGATGAACCCATGGGCATTCGTCGCTTGCCGGGGGCAGCTGCCACTGGACGTGGAGCAGCGGTCTTTTCAGCATCTGATTTTGATGTGCTTGATCGCTGGCTCGCTGATGAGCGCCGATGTGCCCTTTTTTCTTGCAGTTTCTCCTTAAATATAAATCATTTCACTTACGAACACAAAAGAGCAAATAAGACATTTCTTGGACAATAATGAAGCAGTTAATCTTAACGTATATTGCGAATGTCTCGTAAAAGACAGAACACTATGAAAGACGTTGCTGACATGTCAGTAAGTTGGCATTTGTGTGAAATGAGCAGACTTTGGAACGAAAAAAGACTATGTTCACGGATTTAACATGTGCGACTTTCTTAATTTGCTAATACAAGCAGCAACTCCAAAATAAGATTTATCTTAGATCTGCTTTAAAAACAGCATGTTTTTGTTTAGCTAGGCTAGGTTTCACGCAAACAGTATCGATATTGACATCTTGGTCCATAGCTCAAGGGCCTTTAAGAAGGAAAAAAGCTTTCGATGTTGTCTTCATTCGCGACTATCGACGAAACGAGGAACTTATTAATCCGCAGGGCATTCTGATGAAGGACTGAAGTAATAACTAAAGTCAGATCCGGACTCTTTCTCGTGATATGCTGCAGATATGCATTATGACCAATAAACTGTTTGGATATTTCATCAATATGACTAATAACGCACAAATAAAATATTCTATATGCCATTCCAATAAACGCTAATACTTGACATGTTCAAGAAAGTTATAACAGTATGTTCACAAATTGTCAAGATCTTTTGTATAAGCAAATCTCGTTCGTGAGGGCAAACGGCATGACAAAAAATTTCATCGTGTTTCCCTAAGACTTCATTCATACGGGCGATGACTAATCATTCCATCAAGTGTGAAATTCATCACCCCTTGAGTATCAGGCCTAAACCTTTCTCAACGACAGCTCTTCCTATCGAATGCCTGGTATGATGGAAAATGCAACAATTTGCATAGATAGAAATGTTATCGATTACTCGAAATGACTCTTACGACAATCAGGATAGAATGTGTGGGAGTATAAAACGAAGTACACGATAAACTCTTCTTGCTTACATGACCTGCACGATTTTACCGCGTCACTGATATACCTTCATACGTAGTGCGAGCAGTTTCTGGTAGTTCGCGGCTTCGTCTTTGCTCTTCAGTGTTCTTCTGCGTTTCAGAGCCAAGCGATGTCGCTTCCGCTGTTTAACAAGGGGTGTGAGTAAACGCTGAATTTTAGGAGCCTTCATCCGCTGCTTTCCATTTACTGCAAAAATTTACTTCGCTCCAGTGTCTGATTTATCGTACGTAAATTACCTTTTGACACCACAGGCCGACGAAGAACGTACTGCCTTACATCATCGTCCTTTGAAAGATTAAACAATTTCCGGATTTTCGATGCACGTTTTGGACCTAGTCTTCTTGGCACGGTAACATCAGTCAATCCGGGGATTTCTTGTTCGCCTGAAAGTTAAATTTCACTTAAAACTGTTCCAAGTGTTTCATCCTGACTATTGGCCAGCCTTGCAAAACAGCTGGCCAATTACAAACCATCTGAAAAGGAACAAAAAACAGAAACTGCTTGAGCAACAGCTTATCAGCGTGAGCTGTTATTAACACGTTTCACTGCAAAACGTAGCATTACAGTATAACTAGCTTACAACCAACTGACTCACGAACCGCGCATCCCTGATTATCGAGTTTGTTATCCTGGAACTGCCGCTAACTCCTTAATGTTCAGTCTTTTCTACAATATGAATCATCCGGACAAGGGCAGTTCAGCATTTATACTGCCACGCCCTTACGCAGACACGCCACAAGGTGACTATTTTAATGTGCCAGTCGTAGAAAAGATCAAACTCCATTCATTCCTGAAGGTACAGCCACCTTCTTTTGAAAGTTAATGCCGCCTGTGCAGCAAAGTGCAGTAGCACAGCTTTAACTACAGCTCTTGTTGAAAACTGCCAGTATGCATTTCTCAACGAAAGGACTGAAGAAACACACAGTTCGCTTCATACCTGTGCGGGGCCCCAGGGCAACCATGAATGACTAAGATAACCGAATTATTTATGTTTATCTAGAATTATCATGAAAAGGTCGAAGAAACAATAAAAAAACTAGAGTAAGTAGGAATAAAACAGCAAGTAATTTCACTTCAGCATAAATGCATACCCTTTTTGGCGACGATCAAATTGAGAACAGACAGGTTTGCATCGACAATGCAGCCGCGAACAGACTTTCTTCTCCGCTCGCCATCTCTGCGTGGTCGATAACACGAATGACCGGCTTTCAAAAGAAGACGGACCCGCTGGTTGGTCAGCACGCCTTGTTTCATTGGAAAGCCTTGTTTGTCATTTCCACCAGTCACCCTTAACATATAGCCCTAAAAACGATTTATTAAATCAAAATAACAGCAACTTTCTTCTGTCAGTTTATCAGACTAAATAAACAGGAGTTTAAACCAAAACCATCGATCATGGATTGGGCACGAAAAGGCATTGAAAACTGAGTTAGGTCAATTACGTATAATTAAGGTTATTTTTCCCAACAGTCTAAACCACAAGTCTGTATATTGTTGCTAAAGAATATAGGAAGAAATGCTTCTATCGAACCACTGCTAATCGATAAGCCAGCATAAAGAATAAGATAATGCGAAAATACCTACGTACTGTCTGCAGATACTAGAATACGGATGTGGAGACATGACTGCCGAAAGTCTGATATACCTCCAT